GGGAGTTCACAAGAGGGGGATGGATTGATTCTGGGAGCCACATCAACCTGGAGAAACAGGAGAACCAACCTGAACTGAGAGAAATTTGCAGAATGGATAATTAGAAAGGATTCTGGCCCAGTAACCACTTACATGTTTCCCATAAATTAAAAAAAAGATCCTTTCTCCTTATGAAGAGTACACACTGCATGTTTATTTCAATAATTTGCATTAAAAAATACTGACTATCATATGCCCTTTACAAATACTGTAGCCAAAGATTCCATTTTAATGTTGATCCCAAAGCCATTTTGAGGACTCTTAGGCTTCTTAATACTGGATTCTCCCTCTCGTTGCCTTTATCTTTAAAGAGCTTCTTTGAGGGATTTTTGGCTCTCTCTCAGGAAAGAATATCACTGAAATGGAAGGCCTGGGATATAATTCAAATCATTCTAATCAGATTTCTCATTGCTTGATCTAATCAGCAAGCTGTTTGGCTTAGCTTCTTGGTCAAGTTCATTCATTAACTCAGAAAGCATTTATTGAATATATGCTGTGTCTACCCCAGGCTAGAACATAATAAGATTAGTAGATGAATTGAGCCCTGTCCTTTAGGAGTTTATAGTCTTATTGAATGAAGTGAAGGAAATAATAGAATGCTATTTAAAATGTATGATGGTTTTTGTACTTTAAATATGTTCACGGTCTTTCATGGCAGGTAATTGACATCAACTGTGTCTTTGTGTGCCTGAAACTGCATTTTAGAACATTTTGGTTTTGTATCTGTATTACCATTAATATCACGCTCCTCCTTTTCAAAGACTCTTTTGCCATTATAGTCATCGCCTGACAAAGTATCGTTGTAAAATTAATAGAAAGAATCATTGGCATTTCATGGTTTTCCTTACCGTGGGTTTGGAAGGATTCTGAGCAGGAGGAAAGAATGAAAGTTGAAACTCCATTGAGTTTTTTTTTTTAATTGTAGTAAACAGCAACATAAACTCCCTCAACACACATCAAATTCTATCAGATTCTTAAATGTCATCTTTTGCAACCAAGATGAATCCAAGTAGAAAAATAACTTATACTAATGTTATTTGAGGTCTGAGAAATAATGAAATTGCTTTCTTATTTTGGAACAAAGTGTGTATACATGTATGAAGTATTGGAAGAAAAGACTTTCTCCCATGGTTATTTGAAAGAATGGGAAGCTATAATCAGAAGTTACCTCCTACCCCCTTTATTACCTCTATATATTTTTCCTGTTCTCTCTCTTATGTAATATCCTTTTGTGAGGCCCATTTACAGTCACAAACTGGCAGCCACTTTAAAGTTTCTTATTTATTTCCCCCCCTAATTAATGTTTATATGTGTGGTAGATATACAATTTTCTTCTATTAATGTTACAAAAAAGCCAACCTTAAATTTGCATCCACAATGGGAAATAATCAACAAAAGCCCTTAATCATTTGTATTCACAGGCTGGGTGAGAGTGTGATTTGACTGAGATTTCATTGCTGGGCTTATCTGGGATTAGGGCTTCCCAGGTGGCACGGTAGTAAAGAATCTGCCTGCCAGTGCAGGAGACATGGGTTCGATCCCTGGGTCCAGTAAAACCCCTGGAGAAGGAAATGCCAACCCATGCCAGTATTCTTGCCTGGGCAACCCCATGGATAGAGGAGCCTGGTGGTCTACAGTCCATGGGGTTGCAAAGAGTCGGACGATTGAGCAGACATGCATCCACGCGTCCAGGGGTAAATGTTAGTATGTCTCTTACCTTATAACCACATTGCTCTTCTAGAGACATATGTATTCCTTACATCCTAATTTCACTCTCTGAGCAATTTGATGGCAGTCCTCATTAACAAGAATAGTCAGGTTTTGGGGGTCAGTCTCCAGCTTCTGATGAGTTAAACTCATTTGTCCTGTGGTTTCCTCTGTGATAATAAAGTTTTGTTTCCTCTCTTCTTTCTATTTTCTGATCACAACTCTCTGTGGCTATTCATGAAAAAATGAAGGATCTGTGTTTTTCTCATTTGCCTGAAATCCAGGAATTCTTCAGCTGTCCCAGGACTTTGTTTTAGGCACCATTTTTTTTTTTTTGCTAGAACATTTAAATTTAGATTGTGATAACTGTTAGGGAATCAAAAGTGGAACCTGTAGATGTTTACTCCACAGAGCTCAGACTTTCTTGTGATAAAAACTGTGATTCAGAATCACTATACAGGGTAAATCAGAGAGAAGTCCTAATGAAAAATGCTAAAGAAGTTCTTTGAACTCAGCTGGAGGAAAAAATGCCTGGGGGAGGAAGTGAAGGCTCACCATATAATAGTCTTCTAGTATTCTTTTCTTCTGGCTCAAGAAAATGGAATATACTTTGGAGTCAGGGCCCACAATTGATGTTATTCCTTATTTGCCTTGATGAAAGTGAGGGAAAAAATATTGTGTCATCCGACTGTCTTTGTTAAAGGCCTACATACGTGTGATGACTGTTTTGGGGGCTTAGGTAAAGCACGTACATTTCTTGCTTCCCACTGGGAGCTTCTGAATGTAGGCAGGCTGCTGGCAAGCTTGATATGATCACCTTCAACTACTGAAGACCTGTCCAGTGCTTCTGGGACTTCCTGTGTAGGAATATAAGAGAAAAAGAGGGAAAAAGGAAGGAGAAGAAGGAGGGGGAAGGGGAAGGAGAAGAAGAAGAGTCTTGCAGTGTTCTTTCCTTACGGCCCAACAAAATGAAGTGCATAATGGAGTGGGGGAAGAAGGAGATGAAGAAGGATGGGTGAAGAAGGCTGGTCACTGGCTGAACTCTCAGACACACTTGATCCTTGATGACTGACTGGCTTTTCTGGATTCTACTCAGCCTTTTCTTGGGTTTGGGGGCTGCTGTTCATCTTGCTCACCTTTACAAATGACGTGACTGGGTGGAGCTTGCAGGGGTCAATGAACAGTCCAGGGAGATCATCTGTCATCCAGAGTCCAGCAAGGTTCTGCTGGGCTCTGATGGGACCCCGCCTTGCTGTTGGTGTGTTGCCTTGCTCCTCTGGATGAGGATCTGGGCCTCCCTGGGGGCCTGGTGCATCTGCAGGTCCAGTGTCAGAGATGGCAGTTTCCTCCTGTCTTATTCACGCCTAATGAGACAGGCTGCAGGGAGCTATGGGGGATCAGGTGGGCAATGAAGTGGTTGCTGATTCCCTCCTCCTGGACAGGCCTGGGGTATTTAGTGCCTCTCACCTGCCCAAAGATACTTGTTCTGTCTGCCTAAATAAAGAAGTGAACTGAAACGAGCTTGAATGACCAGATACTGAGTTTATGTAGCAATAGCAGGGGAAGTGGGGCTTCCCTGGGTGGTTCATTGGTAAAGAATCCACCTGCAATACACCAGGAGATGCAGGAGGCCTGGGTTCCATCCTCAGGTCAGAAGATCCGCTGAAGTGGGGGCACAGCAGCCCACTCCAGCATTCATGCCTGGAGAATCCCATGGACAGAGGAGCCTGGGGGGCTAGAGTCCATGGGGTCGCAGAGTCGGACACGGCTGAAGCACTTGAGCACACAGGCGCTCAGCAGAGGATATGCAGTGTGGGACATGCAAACTGTAGTAAGCTGGGCAAGTCTGCTGATAGTCTGGGATGTACTGTCCTTTGGTCAAAGAGAGCAAAGAGGTGAGAGTCCAGCAGACTCTAAGCAGCAGGTTCATTGGCTTGAGGATGGGGAGAGATTCTTGGCAGATGATCTGTGTTGGAGGGGTAAGCTTCTGTCTCCTGGAAATCAGGCACTTACTGGAAGTCAGTCTCTTAGCGCTTCTGTTTTGTTTGCCTGAGGGCACATGTGGGAGATTCTCCATTTCATAGTGTCTAGATCCATTTTAGATAAAATCCTTCCACACTCCCGTAGAGCAGTGTCAAGCCTTTAGAGACAGAAAGGAGCACCTGGGAAGCATGTGGAAGCTCGGGTTCCTGCCCTGCCTACCCCCGCCCCGAGCCCACCCCAGACTCAGGACTCAGAGCTGCAGCATCACATGGCAGCCCTTATTCTAATTCAGGTTGTTCTCAGAGCATGCATGGACACTGCCAGGGAGGACTGTTCCTCTCCCTTCCAGGGAGTCACTTAGTTAAGCCACAGATCAGCACTCCTGTTTAAGCTCTACACCATCGTCTGACATTTCTGATGGAGCTGTTCAGAAATTGGCCTTCTATTATTCATGATGGAACCACAAGCTCTCCACGGGTGATCCCTGCTTTCTTCCTTTATCTTGCTGTCCTCATTCTCTCCACTCTGCCCTTATCTCCTCCCTCCCCTTTGCTCAGCAATAGGCACGTTTGCTTGCTAAAGCAATTCCTCTTATGTCTTATCTTTGCCTGGGTCAGTCTTGACTTTCTCAACCTCTCCTGATTCCATCCCTCCTTTCTGGCCCTAATTCTGTGATGTTCCACTCAACAAAACTAAAATCCAACCAACGTGTTTTGGAATTTTCTTACCCCAGACTTTGATAAATTATTGGTCTTGCATTGTGTGATTTCCAGGATACGAATCAGTCTTTTCCCACTTAGAACCTCAAGTCAACCGTAGACATCCTCTGCAAGGGCAAGGGAGGATGTTCTTGAGATGTGTAATAGTGAGCTTGGGGGTGGTAACCAGCTTGGAGAGCTCTTTGCTGGGAAATGGAGGGATTTTAATCAAAGACCTCATGAGCCTGCTTTACTTGCTTTATTCTCTGGCAGCTTTAAAATTGTCCAAGGACTGTGACCACCTCAGCCTTAGGTCTTTTTCTGCGAACACAGAGACCTGCATTCTGCTATCTCCCCTGAATGTCCCTAAGGCGGCCCTCTCAATCTTCCTGTCTTTTGAGACCTGCCACCCTTGGTTCTCACCATGCACTTTAGAGATTCCAGTACATTTGCAAAGGTTTTCACATGTGCAAGACTAACTTAGGCATCGTTTCTACCCCACGGGAAATTTTCAGCTCTGTATTACCTTCTGATGTTGGTTTTTGTGTTTTTTTTTTTTTCTTCTTGCTGCAGGAAAGCAATCTCTCGAGCAGGCCTGCAGCACTTGGCTCCTGCGCATCCCCTCAGCCTTCCTGTTGCAAACGGTCCAGCGAAGGAGCCCAGAGCGACTCTGGACTGGAGCGTAGGTGTCGGCGTTTTCATGTAAACGTCATTCCACTGCCTGTGTGTCTTTCTCCTCCTCAGGATTCCTGTAGCCCCAACAAGACTTGATCATTTTCAGTATTGTTCACTGACCCATCTTCGAGTATCTAAGCCCCAGCTCCATTTTCAGATTTCCAGGAACATAGCTCCATTTATGAAGTTAGACACATTGAAGACTAGGCTAAAAACTTCAGGAATCCTTTTAAGTGCTATTGCCTGCGATTGCAGCTGTGAAATAAAAAAAATACTTCTGCGCACATGCTTCATTGGTCCCTGCCTGCCAAGTTGGTGATGAATAGAGTTTACTATTAGCGACTAAATCATAAAGTCCAAGTTTGATTTTCTTAGCTCAAGCTACCTCTTTTTTTTTTGGTGCTTTTCTTTCCTTCTCATTTTTTCTGAGAGAGGATGACCTCACTTTACATTCCAGGCACTCCGTGTCCTGCTGTTTGCTATGTTTCCTCTCCTAACCCAAAGGTAATGGGTCTTGTGTCAGTAGGGTAGGTATATTAGCTGATTTTTTAAAAATTTATTTTATTGAAGTGTAGTTTGTTTACAATGTTGTGTTCATTTCTACTGTTGTTATTATTTAGTCACTAAGTCTTGTCTGACTCTTTGCAACCCCATGGACTGTAGCCTGCCAGGCTCCTCTGTTAATGGGATTTCCCAGGCAAGAATACTGGAGTGGGTTGCCATTTCCCTTTCCAGGGGAATCTTCCTGACCCAGGGACTGAATCTGTGTCTCCTGCCTCGGCAGGTGGAATCCTTACCACTCAGCCACCGGGGAAGCGCAGTTACTGCTGTATAGCAAAGTGACTCAGTTACACATATGTATATATTCTCTTTCATAGTCTTTTCTGTTACCATTTTTTACAGGATATTGAACATAGTTCCCTGTGCTATACAGTAGGACCTTGTTGTTTATTACCTGATTTTAAGGTTTTATTTAAAAGACATCTACAAAAACTGTTAAATTGAAGATTGCACTGTGAATTTCTTAAGTCAATTAGAATACATTTGTTGAGAGTCTTCGGTGAGTCAAGTTCTTGGTTGAAGACACAACTATGGACTGAAAGGCCTCTCCCTTCCTGAAGGAATGCAAGAAGCAATATGAAGCTAGAGGAGGACTGCTCTGAGACTATTCCAGTCTGGTCTCGATGAATCTTGTCTAGCATTCCTGGTTGAGTTGAACAGAGGATAATCCACCTTCTCTTCCTCCCATAAGAAAAACCAGGACAGGGTACCAGAGAGGAGAGGAGTTTGTAAACTAAGTTTCGTTTTTAGCACACATGCCGTAACTTAGTATCATTTAAAACTGTAATATTTCTCCCTCTTCCCCAAGAACACACTTACTAACATCCTTATTTTATATCCTGGACACACACCAATATATGCAATACATGAAGTACCTGACAAAAGACTGAATCTGATTGAAATGAAACGTTCTTCCTTGATGGGGTCTGCAGTTTGTATTAGCTGATTTTAATGTTTTATCTAAAAGGCATCTATGAAAGCTATTCACTTGAAGATTGCAGTCTGAATTTAAGTCAGTCAGAGTGTTCAGGTCACTCCTCTGTATGTTGAGTTGGTATTTGGGAAGACTCTTGCCCTCCTCTAAGTTTCCCTTTATTCCAGGACAGTCATTTAATAAACTCTTAAACAGTTAGAGTGTAGAATATATCGACACCAGTGCTGACATAATTTAAAAGAATTAAATACATAAACAAACAGATAAGTTCAATTTTAAAAGGGATATACATGGACCAACGATGAGAGTGCGTTAAGAATCAGGGACCCCAAAATGTTAGTTGATTATTCACGATGTTCCCAATCCTCTGATCCAAAGTCATAGGATTCTGTTTGAGATGCAAGATTCTAATGAAAGAGAGTTTGCATCATTTAGATAGAAACATCCATTAAATCAGCCTTCCCTGGTGGCTCAGTGGTGAAGAATCTGCCTTCAGTGCAGGAGACACGGGTTTGATCCTTGGATCAGGAAGATCCCCTGGAATCAGAAATGGCACCCCACTCCAGTATTCTTGCCTGGAGAATCCCATGGACAGAGGAGCCTGGTGGGCTATAGTCCATGGGGTTGCAAGAGTCAGACATGACTGAGTGTACACTCACACATCCATTAAATCATTTCTCTGTGACATTAGTCAAGTCACTTGATTTCTTTCAGCCTCAGGATCCTCATCTATAGATGGGAACAATGGTGACCTCTCCCTCAGGGGGACTTCAGGGCTGTTGTTAAGATCAAATGGGGCTGTGAGTGTAAAAGTTCCTGTAAACTGTGCAGCCGGTAGGTTTATTTATTCAGAAATTAAGTCATTGATGAATTCATTGATCCATCACCGTTGGATGAGTAACTGCTTTGTTCTGGAACCTGTGTTGGTTCCTTGGGATTCTAGGTGAGGAAGATATGGTTTCTGCTTTCAAGAAGCTTGGAATGCAGAAAAGACATTGACACTAAAATATGGGCAGTCACCCCAAGCATAGTGGGGTTCAAAGAGTGTCATAGGGGTGTGAGGAAGGACACTCCATCCCTGTTTGATGCTGGAAAGAGTTACCAGAAAATGCTTTTAGAAAAAATGTCCTTCCTGAACCAAAGTTTGACTAGGAGGTGTTATTTTTCTGACTACTGTAAAGAGGTCTATGCTCTAATATTTCATCAGAATGGTATTTTTGGCTGGTGGTGGGAGGCTGCAGTACGTGGTTCGGAAAGAGTGAGTAGGAAGTAAGGCTGTGTTGTGTGTAGCTGATCCTTCAACTTTCAGCCCCTTCAATTGTGGTCACTTCATCTTGGTGGCCTGATGAATTGTCACGGTGACAGGAAACACTCTGGGGATGTTTAACAGTGGAGGGAAAACTGAAAGCCTTCTCTGAAGACACTCTTATCTCAGGGCTTATTTAGAGATCTTATGTGGAAGGAGTTATAAGATGTGATTCTGAAAAACCCCATAATTGTGAGCTAATATTGCTGAAGCCAGACAGCAACCAGCCCTACACATTCTTATTACAGTTATCTAAAGATTTTCTCAGAAGAGAGGAAGAAGCAGATTGTTAAAAACATTTAAATGGCTTTTTTTTTTTTTTGCTGAGATTTGCCCTTGCTTCCAAATTTTTGGCTTTTACTAACCAAATTGCTTTACACCAACTTCATTTATGCCATTTTGGTTTGCCTGCTTGTGCAGAAAGCTAAACCAGGATTTTATTTGTTCTGGTTAAAATATAAAAGTAGTCCTGCTAGTCTTGACCTGCCACCATTGCCTGTATTCCACCTCCTTGTCTGCTTCTCTGCAAAAAAGCAGTATGACCTCTCTCCTTCTATCAGCCCCCTCTTCTGGACTAAATGCATTAAAATGATCAACCCTGACTTATTTTTGTTATTGATTCTTGAGCGCTGCTTTGGGTTGGAGCCTCTTATTAGTAAGAGTCTCCCAAATGAGAAGAGGGGCAAAAATGTAAAAATAAAGGTAAAAAAGGAGGGACTTCAATTTCTTATCTTGGATGAGATAAGAGTCCCCAGAAGAGCTGAGGATGCTTATGGCATAACAGGGGTGGAGCAGGGCTGTGAAATTCACCTTGTTCTGCATTCAACCCCCTTGATTCATACATTGAGATTCTCTTTGCCTCAGAGGGTCAGAGGTGGAAAGTCATCTCAAAAACCTGTAGTACCATGACCCCTAACTTATGTCACCTCCCCTCTCCTCCTTTCACCAGTGAGAAATCAGATGCAAAAGCTGTCCGTGGTTATCTCTGAAGTTGAAGACAAATCAGGGTGAACCTGGAATTTCAATCTTAGTCCCAAGTATTGTAGAATCTCAGAGGGCCCCGTTCTGACTGTATGTGTGCGTGCTCAGTTGCTTCAGTCAGGTACAATCCTTTGCGACCCTGTGGACTGCAGCCCGCCAGGCTCCTCTGTCCGTAGGATTCTCCAGGCAAGAATACTGGAGTGGGTTGCCATTCCCTTCTCCAGGGGATCTTCCTGACCCAGGGACTGAACCTGAGATTCCTGCATTGCACCTGGGAAGTCCCGTTCCTACTCTAGTACGTACCAAAGACTTCAGAAGTGGCACAGTTGTTTCCTAAACATCCTTTTGCAAAGGGCTTTGAGGAGTGGCCTGCTTGTGGGGTGCCTGAGACCCAGGTGAGATTAGACTATAGGCACCTCTGCATTCAGCCAGAAAAATCCTGTTGGAGGAGTCAGTTGTTATAAGTGTTCCATTTTCATATTCCCATTTCCCTACTTAGTGATGCATACTATCTCGTATTTTTAGTCTGTTCCTCGAAGTTCGGAAACTTCTCTTTCTCTGTGATTCACTCAAATATTTTATTTTGACTTATGGGATTCTCTGCCCCACACTGTGTCATTTCCTTGATGACTCTTTGCTGACCTTTGCTCCTGCCACCTGCACACAGGCCCTCCTCTCCATTCATGTCAGGGATGGAAGCCCTAATGATGGGGAGCAGCCAGATCCAGCCTCAGTGCAGGGCTAGAGTCTTCTACTGACTACAGTGGACAGTCGGCTTCACCTGAGGTGAAAGTGGCTCTTTTCTACAAAGACTTGGCTCCTGCTCTCTGCCAGTCTGTGCTCATTTGTTTGGTTGAACTAGTTCTGTTTATTTTATTTACTTTCTGTTTTTGATTCCACATAAAATCTCTACCCATAGAGCATTGTCGTAGAGCCAAATTCGTGTTTTGGGTTGACTTTTTCTAGGCCATAGTTCGATTTCAGACACGTTGAAGGGAGGAACAGTGTTTTCTGCTAACAAGCAGAAATATATATCTTCTTCACAGTGGACTGCACAGCATCGTTGGCCTAGTAACTGTCTGGTGGATGTCAGGGATGAATTGATTACAACTTTTCTGTTCAATCAACAAGAAAGGGACACATCTCTGGGAGCTAATGGGCACTCAGATGATCTCCAGTTCCAGAAGGGCATTGGAAGACACAAGTCAAAAGCCTGTTTGAAACA